AGACAGACTTACAGATGACAGTAGACAGTACAGTAGACAGTAGACAATACAGAAGACAGTAGACAATACAGTAGACAGTAGACAGTACGCGACACGATATTACGACACGACTATATACGATATAGCGCAACATATTATATTACAATGGCACAAAGAATATTTCAACGAATATGGTGTTTCGTCAAAGAAGAAGTAGACGAACAAACGGAGCAATTGGTCAAGGAATTCGTACGTCAGTTGTTCAGTTGGTTAGTTGACCAAATACGCTATTCAATAGCACCGATCATCATTCAATGGAGTTTCGATGCATATACCAAATTACTCTTCAACATTGGTCAACCGTTACATATCTCTCATTTTATTCACATGGCACGAATCAATTGCTCCTCTATAGGTAATATTATGCTAGAAGAAGAAAACTATTGATGACAACTCACAATTATACATTAATATTTTAGATCGCTAATGGAAAAGAGAAGCTAGCTAGGTGATAGCTAGATCCGAAGTGTCTAGTTGGTGGGTTATGATCATAATTTTAATTTTAACCCACATGGCTACAAAGAGGCCCAACGTTAATTTTTAATTTTTCCAAACAAGGCTAACAAGGGCCGTTTTTAGCTAGCTAGGTGAAGCTAGCTAGATGATAGCTAGAACCGAAGTCTCTAGTTGATAGGTTATGATCATAATTTTAATTTTAACCCACATGGCCACAAAGAAGCCCAATGTTAATTTTTAATTTTTCCAAACAAGGCTAACAAGGGCCGTTTTTAGCTAACTAGGTGAAGCTAGCTAGGTGATAGTTAGATCCGAAGTATCTAGTTGGTAGGTTATGATCATAATTTTAATTTTAACCCACATGGCCACAAAGAGGCCTAACATTAATTTTTAAAAAAAATTTTTAATTTTTCCAAACAAGGCTAACAAGGGCCGTTTTTAGCTAGCTAGGTGAAGCTAGTTAGGTGATAGCTAGATCCGAAATCTCTAGTTGGTAGATTATAATCATAATTTTAATTTTAACCCACATGGCCACAAAGAAGCCCAACGTTAATTTTTAATTTTTCCAAACAAGGCTAACAAGGGCCGTTTTTAGTAATTATGAAATTAATTTTTCGGTGTAAAAATTAATTTCTTAATTATTTGAGGGAGGAGGATTGTGACGTTTACGCAGCCCTCATTCCTTCAAAGTGCAAAACGCGAATCAACCTTGAACGCAGAATTATCAGCAATTTTTTTAAGCAACTGTGTGAAGGTTTTCGCGTTCTTTATTCTTTTAATGTTTATTGTCGAGCAGAACGCAGAATTCCTCGAGTTTTGCAATCGCTGAAACGCTGAATCAAAAGGATATTATTTTTCAAATCTAATTTTTTCTAATCTATGAGCTTGCAATATCAACTTCTTTATGACGTGCGATGCATTAACTCGCTATAAAGTCGTCTCGTCGTCCTGTTGACATGAGATAGGAAGAATTCCACGTATTCTGCTATCCACAGTTATCTATTGGCGATTCGATTTCTGACGACGATAAGATAGTACAAGACAATCGATGAAATTGCGCGTTATAGATTTTCCACGCGCGTTATAGCCTTCGACTATGAACCCGACCAATTGCGAGATCGTTTATATCTCTCGAGAGAGCCCTCCACCTGCTTTTAGCATACAGAGATAAAAGACTCAACAAAATTTTTTTATAAATGTTTATTATATCTTTTCAGGTTAATCAGATCAACAAATGACTAAAGTAAACAAAATAAAATTAAAATGGATTATCATCCATATCGCACTTAGAGATGAATCTTTCTGTATTCTTATTCTTTGCGCGTTCGCACCGATTTTATCTTATCTACCAATCTGCCAAATCTCGACAATTCTCTCGACGCATATAACAATAAAAAAACGTCGCGTACATCGTATTTTACCGTGAAGCAAGGCTGTTGCTTTACTGCAACTGTCCTGTCATCTAGTGGTCTTTTAATAATATTTCGCATATATTGAGAAAAAAATACTCGAAAATTTACTTGTAGAATATAAGGTTTATTTCTGCGAAATAAAATTCATTTCGGGATGAAATAAACTTTTCTATCCCACACAAATAAATTGCCATGTATTTTTTTCTCGGTGTACACGCAGTTTGCTCAACAACAACGTCGTAAATATAAAAAACGTGAACAAATCAGTCGTTCGTGGGTTAACGACACATTTAACGTGTTGCATATAACAGTATATCGATGAAATTGCGTTTGCTGTGTACGAGTTTTCCACTCGGCGGCGCGACGAAATTGCGCCGCGATTTTACAATGCAACGGCGCGTTGCACCGCTACTACACCCGCTAATTTATTCTCTTTCCTTGAGCCACATAATATTCAACGAGCACACTTTTTGCCTCGCATTCCTGCATTCTGAGTTGCTCGCACGGCGATGCGTGCTGTTATTCACGCCTACCTAACGCAATTGTATCAGCATCGTATAAATTATGGAGAATCCTCGATTATCGGTTTCGATTATCAACGGGCGTCTTACATTGTATCCTTGGGTAGGCGGACTTCCCGTTCGTCGACGTCGTAAATATATTTTCTCCTTCCTTCTTCCTACGCTGATAATGCTGGATCACAAGTCTGAAAGTAGATTCATTCAAAGTGAACAAGTCGTCTGTATATATACAGTAAACACAAACTGACAGTAACGTTACATCAATATTATAACTTCTCACTCAGCGACGTAACTGTTATATGCACGTAGAAAATATTGTAGTAAAAAAACAAAATAGAAGAAAACAGAATATTATTGTAGTAACAACAGAATTTCTGTGATCTTGGACCAAATAGAATATTATGGCCGGAATTATTATATATTTGTTTAAAAATGTTATGCACGTTTGACTTTTTACCAAAAATCATTCTAATTACTTGAATATTTTTTTCGGATCGTATATTCAATATATTGTCAAATTTACTATTTTTATAATAATTTATACTGTAACTTTACGATAATTCACAGCTTTACGAAAAACATGGTAAAAGGAAATATAATTTCAATGTAATTCTTACTACAATATTTTCTCCGTGTGCAACACATGTTGTACTGCACTTACATATATTGTCGAATGAAAAATTATAATATTGACGTAATGTTATTGCTAAGTAATGTTTACTGGGTATAGCCCATTTGAAAGAAGAAAATACAAAGGCGTTGTCACAGACGAATCACAGTATCAAATACGTTAAATACGCATTTTGCTCGTGCGATGCACGTACGACATTGAAAGCTTAGACGAAACGTCGGTACACAACAATATTTGCGGCTGTACGTTACGTCGACGTACACGTCACGGAGTATTTTCAGTCGAAACTATCGGGTGAGAACGAAGAGCGGAACGCAAGCTCGGTTCTGCGTGGAGCGTGTAGAATATCGTTAATTATTAGTGTCCCAGATACACGCATGTGTATCTGCGGCGAACGGTAAACATGTCAGCGTCGATTTACGTCACTCTGTGACTGGGTGCGTGAGTCACGATCATTATTTTAATGAAGCACGATACAAAGAACTTCGCCTTTTTAATCGGCTGCA